CGATAGGCACGGGCTCAAGGTCACGCAGATCGCCTGGCCATGTTTGGCGCCGTGCCCACGCAACCCCTACACCAACTACCCCGCGCCCGTGAACCGTCCGATGCGTTCGGCGCATCGCCTGTCGTCCACCCCGTCTGCCATGGGTGGAGCTCAGACCTTGGGGCTATAAAGCGATGCCTAGAGCTGCCCTAGGGATCCCTTAGCCCACCGCCATCGTTCGGTGGCCCAACTGCCCGCATCACTCCGAGAGAAGAGGGCCGAGAGGGAAATTCAGAAGAGGGAGGCGAGCGGGGGGGCTCGGAGACGTCGATCACCGGAGCTCGGAGCGCCGCCCTGAGTGCCTACCCCAACGACGCGGCTACCACCACTAGGCAGCGTCTCGCCACCACATCACCACCGAACGCCGCCAAGTACCACTCGGTGAGTTCCTTTGCTGAGACCACCCCCTAGCCCATGGACGCCATCACAGTGCATGCGCTCGCCGCGCTCGCAACGCCGCCGTCATGGCGCGGCCACCGCATGCGCATCCGACCACCTTGTTGGACTAGGAAGTAGCCGTAGAGCACTGCCGTGATGCCTGGAGGATAGCTGCGTAGACCGAGACACCGTTAGCCGGCCACAGCACCTTGGCCACGAGCACCGGACCTCGGGCGGAGTTCTGCCGTGCACCACCACCGTGTGCGGACTCCACCGCGCCCTGTGGTCATCGTCGACGCTACATCATACCTCCCGCTAACCGTCTGAAAGGAAACGGGGCACCAGGACCCCTGGAACTGCCCCTAGATGCCCCGCCGGCGAGCACCGCCACGCCGAGCCACCAACCACCATGGCCAAAGCCCTAGGAAGCCCTGGTCGCCACCTTGACCCCACCACCGTACTCGCCGAGGCCTGGTGATGCTGTTTCCCACCTCAATTGAGAGCTAGCGCCGCTGTGGGAGCTCGCCGGTGAGCTCACCACCGGCGGGAGCACGCCGGGGAAGGAAGCAGAGGAATTCCCCTCGCCAGCCACACGCACATGCACCCGGTGCACGTAGACCATGCCCAAGGAAAGAGAAATAGACTCGGTCCACCGAAGACCCAGCCTACGGTCCATGGACCGTGAACACAAGTCCACCATGAGCCACGCGGTGTGGGCCGATCTGTGAACCGAAGCCCAGTGGAGGCCCTAGGCTACGACATGGCAGCGCCACCGCATGCCACGTGGTGGCCCAAAGCCCAGCCCGTATCCAGGCCCAACCGGCCCAGTTTGGACTTGGCCTGTCTTGATCATTGACTGGTCAACGTTGACCAATTGATCGAGCCCACATGTCAGCGACACAGAGACTCTGGACCCACTTGTCAGTGGGTGACGTCATGCTGCCGTCATGACGACGTCACACGGGTCCCACCTGTCAGTAACAAATACAGTCGAGATGATGTCATGATGATGTCACGGTGACATCAGCAGCTCTGGCCCTACCTGTCTGTGACTGATGTCACGGTGACGTTGACTCACCGTTGACTTGGCGTTGACTTTGACCGGACCCACATGTCAGTGACCCAAGAGCCCCTAGGCCCACCTGTCAGTAGCTAATGACGTAGATGACGTCATGCTGACGTCAACGAGACCCCACCTGTCAGTACCAGAACCGAGACGATGACGTCATGCTGACGTCAGCATGACACGTGGGCCAACAGGAGCGAGACACGTGTCAGCACGATATTAATTCAGCCCTTTCCCATTTTCAGAAATGGATTTAATCTTCGGAAATTCATAACTAATTCATACGACCTCAGAAAAATATGAAACCAGGACCAAAATTCATCTAAAATTGAGCTCTACGCAATGAACCCATGTTTGAGTGCATTTGGCTCTTTTGAATTTTCATTGCTTCTTTGTGCTATTCTATAGACGTCGCTAATGCAACTATAATGCGATCGTTTGCAGACTCGGAGGAGAACCAGACGGACGAGGACCGAGAGTACCGTGAGGAGTACGGAGACGACTACACTGAAGGTGCCACATCCCACCCAATCTCGTAGCACCTATTACGCATAACTAAAATAGAAATGCTAGTGCTTTACTTTATTGTTATGATCACACTATGATATGACTTGCATGGTAGTATGCTTTCTTGATGGCCTTTACCTTGACGAAACCTTACCCCTGCCCACCCTGCTGTTAGGCTAGTCACACGCTTGCTACTATATTTTATTACTTATTACTTCTACTATGCTTGCACTACATTGATGTGTGGTGAAAACTGGTGTTATCTGGACTATGGAGAGAGTGTTGTGTGTGTGACTTGGGTGCGTGGAGGGTGAGGGTTGTGTCGACCAAGTTGGAGTATACGACGAGCCTAGGGCAAGTCATGTCGTGGGGTGCTACCTGGGCACCCCTGGAATGGATACCTGTGGTGGGTAAATGGTATATGAGGTGACCCTAGGTGTGAACCTGTGATGGGAGGAGCCCAGGGTGGAGGTGCTGTGGTGGCACGGTAAATGGAAACTCTGATGAAGACATTCTGGCTTGGTCATCCCTAAAGACTTACTAGTACTCGGATTCACCAGGAAGCCTTACATACCACTCGCCCTATATTGTGCGGGACGGCCGGACTACTTGGTAGGATATTGCCACTACTGCTAGGTTGATAGCGGACAGTGCGAGGGAGGTACGGGGCGCGGAGGTTTTCCCCCACACCCTTCCGAGACTTCATGGAGACCTTATGGACCCGGCTCATGACTCACAGTTTCAGCCACCCTAGACTAGACTTGGGGTGTACCAGGGCTAAATGGTAGAGTGGCATTATCCTAGGCTAGCAAGCGGCCGGAATCAGCCCAGTTGACGACGGTCAGCGAGGAAGGCGGATCTTGTGGCTATGTAAAACCTCTGCAGAGTGCATGGTTGATCGATCGATACATATGCCGACTTGTCGGCTATGGATCTTTCCTGGGTTTTGCTTAGACTAGATAGTGAGATGAGTCCTTCTCTTCTCCCTTTGGGAGTGAGTGTTCGGACGTAGCCAGGGGCTACGGGCCTTGAGACAGTGCCGAGAGAGAGTTGGCCTGTCGACTGAGCGATGGTATGGTTGTGATGTGGTGATGGTGTGGAGATAGTGGTAAATCGATCCCATGATCGAAACCTGGTTCTGGACGGAAATGGGGTGGAATGGGTGTGTGAATAGTGTTAAAACTTGACCAACTATTATTATATACTTAATATGCTAATACATAGCAAACTCACCTTATAGGTTCCTTTTGAATATATCCAACTTGCATCCAAGTTCCACAAAGCAATGCTCACAGGGTGGGAGTGCCCAGTATAAATCGTACTGATAATTTTTGGCACACAGGTTCTGCTGAGGAGTATAGCTACGAGGAGTTTGACGGTTGAGGGGTTCGTTCCTACGCTCAAGTTTGGCGATCTTATCTTCGAGCTGTTATAAATGAATGCTACTTTTGATTCCGCCAATGCGGCGATGTAATAATTTATGTAATTTCGCACTATTTGTACTCTGATATTATCGTTGTATGGATGTGATATTCGACTGGAATTTGGATAATATGATCTACAACGGTCTTATTACACTTTGACTCTGTCGATCTTCCTTCGCGGAAATCAGGTCGTTTCACCTACCAGGGCCACTATATCGAAGCAATGATGAGGAGCGGCTATGGCAGCCGATTAAGTGCATTATGTCACTGTCATAGGAGAAGTGAGCGATTAAAATAGGGGGTTTATAAGAGTTGCACATGCGTGGACGGTGTGACCGCACTAGGGACTTGCAGAATCAAGGTAGAGTTATACTGAGAAGAATACCAAGTTTTCTTTGGAACGTAGAAATATAATAGAAATTATATAAATACTTTATAAAAATCATTTTATTTTCTTAAGAAAATCCAAACAAATTCCACAATCCATAAAAGGCCTACTCCAGTAGCAACGAATCTTGAAATTACGTGTCATAATACCATCCCCCGATTAAATGGCAGGCACTCGGTGTCTAGGGGCATGTACAATGATGGTTTATTTGCGGTCTGTATAGTGCTCCGTTAGTGCTTCTGTTCAATTTAATGAGGTGAGAGGGTGTTGTCGTCGTCTCGTGATATGACAGCCAGGGCTCGTGCTCTGAAGTGAAATTATTCGACAGTCACCCGTTGAATGATCCGCTGCGAGTCTTCGACGGTATCGTTTGATCTGCTGCGTACGGGTGCCCTGTGTTTCTGCCCCCTACCTCAAATTAAATGATGAGATATACAGAGAGACGTACGTGATTTATGAGACATATTATATTACGTTATATATAATATATATGATTTACTTTGAAGGATTTATTTTGTATCAATTAACAATACAATGGTACACATAATGGTATATAAAAATAATATTCATAATTTATTATAGCTACATTAAGCATTAAATAATTTGTAAATAGCTAAATAGACAGCAACTCTACGTGAGTTATATGACCGTTCAACCGTAAATCCCAGAACTTATCCGTTGTACATGCCCTAGTTGTCCTCCGCTACGGCGTAAGTACGGCCCTAGCCGAGTAGCCGGCTACCCCCTATCCCGGCTATCCATCGTCCACTCGTGCCGCCCCGTACAAAGCGCAATCAGCCTCCACTTCCAGATCCGTTTCGGACCATCCAGAACCAGAAGGCGAAGCGCCTCCTCTTTCCTTAGCCACCCAACCAACGGACACGCGGCAGTTTCACTGCCGCTCATTCACCGCGCGCCAGCCGTCAGCTAGATAGCTTTTACTGCTCCCATCAAAGCCGTGCACGAGAGAATAGCGCGGCGAAGGGAGGCGGTAAAAAAAGCAGCAGCACGCGAGTGAGCGGCGACCGCGAGCGCCTCCGCATTTCGAACCAAAGGGGGAAAGGAAAACAGAGAGAGAGAGATCGAGAAAAAAAAAAATCCAATCCACCACCGTCTTCTTGTGGTCTCCTCGCCAAACCCTAGCGCCCGCGCCCCCGGTCCTCCGCCCCCACCTTCGCCGTCGCTGTCGCGCCCCCCCATGGCGAAGTTGCGGCCGCCCAAGCGGATCCTCGAGTCCTATACCATCAAGGGCTCGGACAAAGTCATCAAGCGTGAGTGCCCCTTCCGCCCTGTCCGATCCAGAATTTACGCGGGGGGGTGGGGGGAAGGGGGGTTTGCGGGGATTTTTGGTGGCCGGTGGCGTATTTCGGGATATGTGTCCGGGGTCTCGGTTTCCGGTCCCTGGGATTCGGGGCGTCTTTACTTTGGGGTCGATTGATTTCGTCAGAAATGTTTTTGCAATTATTATCGGGCGCTCTGCTGTTGTTTTGGCTATTATGCCTTTAATACGGTTGAAATTTAGTCGTTTATTGTTCACTGCTGCCAGCTCCGTGTCTAATTGGGGTTTGAATTCAGTTAGCACTGTGAGGGCGTAATATTCGAGGGGGTTAGCATCGCGGTGCTTATTACAGTACCATGCTATGCTCTGGTCACTTGAAACCTTTTTTTTCTATACCAAGCTTTCGTTAACGTGAACTCGTTGGAATGTAGTCCTGTAGGTATTTGTGGATGTGTTTACATCGCATTGGCATCTGTGTATGAACGAGCTCGATTTATACAAAATAGAATAAAATAAAAGTGCAATAAGCTATTTCATGACTGATGCGCCCTTGGATTAGATTATCCACAGTTCATTAGTATCTTGGCTCTGTTATATCGTTACAGCTTCAAATTTGGTACATGAATAGTATTTTTTAGATAGATAGAAGAGCTCAATCAAGTTTTTGTAAGAGTAAAGTTTACTGGCAGTCCTTAAACTTGTGTGAGTGTATCATCCCGGTCCCTAAACTCTCAAAACACTCGTTTGGGTCCCTAATTTCTTGTCAGGTCTCAATCCCATCCAAACTGGTCTATTCCCTCTCTCTGCCCCCGTTTCCCGAGCTCCCTCCGTCGTCTCTCTTCCCAAACAGAGCAGCGGCGCACGTTGGCATGTGGGCTGCGGCAGCAGCCTTGAGCAGCAGCGCTCTGCATGCGGGGAGGGGTTGTGGCAAGCAAGCACGCGAGGGTGGCGGCGGCGACGGGCGCGTGCTCCTCGGCTCGATACCCGGCCATGCGCACGACAGAGGGAGAAGCCGAGCCTGAGCGTGGCCTAATCGAGGATGAAGATGACGGTGCTGCCCCGACCATCTTGAGGATGGCGTGTGAAGGAGAGAAACACGATGGTGCTGTCGGCGAGCAAGCAGCTGCTTGTCAGCTGAACTGCTGAAGCCGGCTAACTGAACTCAAGTTCAGTTACGGCCTTCTCTGTTTTTTAGAAAGGCATTACGACCTTCTCTGTTATTCAGCGATTTACTCCCAATTTTGTATGTAATCAACCTGATCGGCCTTAATAAAACTTATTCAATGGGCTATGATCTACAACATTGTTTTAAGAACTAAGGTCTAATTTTTACTGGTTTGGAAGATCTAAAGCCTCAAAGTTTGACAAAATTCTGCATACCAAGCATCAGTTTCAGAGTTGCAATTCAGTTTAGGAGGACAAACTGGAACGCGGCATCCACGGCGGCGGCAGGAACACGAGGCCGAGGTCTGCAGGACCGGGCGGCGAAGCGGGCGAGAGAGAGGATGGAGATGTGCGGCAGCGGCACAGGCGACCTCTTCCCAGCAGGGGACGAATCCACGCGGTGAACTGGGCCTGCTGCTTCCCGATGAACGGCTCAACCAACCACCGGGGCGCCTCTGCGTCGTCCATCCCCGGCTTTCCAAGAACGCCGTCCTCGTCGACGGCTGCTGCTGCGCAGCCGCTGGTCTTCTCCAACATGCCTCGCTGCTGGGGCTGGGACGCGCACCACCGTCTTCACGTGCACGGTGCACCCACGAACACCTCGGGCTCTGGCGGCTCCTCCTACCCGGTGGTCGGTGGTGGCAGCAGCGTTGGCCCGAGGCGTGTATCGCAGGGCTTCAACGTCGTCGGAATTAGGCGAGCTGGATGGGTTCGCGGAGGAGGAGGTGTATGCCGCTACGTCGAGTCGGAAGAGCACGGCGAGGCTGATCACGATGACGTTGGCATCAGCGGCTTGGGTGGGCATGCGCCGGCGTGGTGACAAGTCTGAGAGGAGGACGTGGGTACCGGGTCAAAGACCGTTTGGATGGGTAAACGAGACCCAAATCAAGTTTAGGGACCTATATGACCGTTTTGTAAGTTTAGGGACCGGGATGACATACTCACACAAGTTTAAGGACCGCTGGTGCACTTAACTCTTTTTGTAATACAGTACTTGCATCCTCCTTCCACTGTCGTTGGGCAAATTTTGGTATGAGGTCTTCAAAAAGATTGGACCTTTGTTTTTTCTTGCCAAAAAAATCAATTATCATAATAGAAGAACTCTGAATACCTCTGTAAAACAAATACACTGATAGCTGACCTTTTCAAACTAAAATACAGCTTATAGAAGTGGAAGGATGGAGTATTTTTGTTTATATAAGGCTTTCTCATTGCTTTGATGAAGCAGCATAAGGCGCCTTTCGGATTTGATTGATTCTTTAAATTGTTTCTTCCAGCTGGCGATTGTGTGCTTATGAGGGCCTCTGATGCATCAAAGCCACCTTATGTGGCAAGAGTTGAGGCAATTGAAGCAGCAGGATCTCGAGGCACCAATGTGAGAGTACGAGTGCGGTGGTATTATCGACCAGAGGAGTCCATAGGTGGCCGGCGGCCGTTTCATGGTTCCAAGGAGGTTTTCCTCTCTGACCACTATGATGTACAAAGTGCTGACACCATTGAGGGGAAATGCAATGTCCACAGCTTCCGTAGCTATACAAAGCTTGATTCTGTTAATGCTGAGGATTTCTTCTGCCGCTTTGAGTATAAATCAGCTACTGGCAGCTTCGTACCAGATCGCATAGCAGTGTAAGAACACAATGAGACTTCTGCAATTTCATTATTTTGGATTGCATTTACAATTTGTAGCAAGTTCCATCTAATCTGATCCTTTAACTTGTGCAATGTGTTAATCTCCTGCTACCTCTAATCCAGCATAGATCAGATTATGCTTCTGGTGGTTAGCTTTGATTTTTGAAAGCAGCATTTTCCCCTACATGTGCTCCCTATTGGATTGCTTATTGGTAGTGGAGTTAGAGAATTATAGAATTAATAGGAGTAAACCATGTCAAAAACCAATTGAATAACTTGTCTGGTGTGGAAAGCACTAAAAGGTTAAGTACTCCCTCTGTCTCCAAATGTAAGGTCTATTTTTTCTTAGGATAAGACTTTGACTAACAATTACTCAATTAATATGACACATTTGTGATGCAGTCATAGTCATAAGCAAGTACTTTTGAATATGATAATATATCAAGTTTGTGTCAGAAGGTCATATACTACTAGAGTAATTATTGTCGAAGGCAGAGGGAGTAACTTGGATTGCAGGGAGTAAGTAGATGATATATGTCCTACTTTAGTATCATGCCACCTGTAGATAACTCTCAAAAGTTTTTTTAAGGATCCCACCATAGTCACCGAAAACCTGGGAACGTCATCCCCGACTTGTGTATTGGGGTTATTTTCGACCCTGCCATGTGAAAATGTCTCGCGAGTAGCGTACCATGTTCCTTGACCCCGTCGAGCTGAGAACTTTGTGACTATATCCCCACACGAGCCTTTTATTTTAGAAATGGTATTTTCTGTCTGTTCCCAAGGTTCATGAGGCCATAACTCAATTTCATATATGATCCTACGTCATCATGAACCTCTTTGTACTAAATAGGAGTAATTCACTTGTATGTTTTCCTATGCATGTGCAATAGTTAAAGGATTGGGGGGAATGATAGAGGCACACAAAGCTCATGCCAGGCAGAACATGTTTCTTCAGGCATTTGTGTGTGTGTGTGTGTGGGGGGGGGGGATTGCAACCTAGGACTTCCTGGTTCTCTGTTTACTATAGCAGGAGTATTCCAAACAATGCCTTTGCAGCAAGTTATTCCACTAATAGCACTCTTTGTTTGATTTCAAAGGCAGGCCATGGAGTTAGCATGTGTTTAGTTTGGGGATTAGGAGTGACAGGATGGATCCAACCCTGTTTTTTTAGGAGGGGTTCAACCCACTTCATGTTTAGTTTGGACGTTGGGTTCATCCCATGACTTTTGTTTGGTTAGAGATATCAATTTCATGGGTTTGGAGGTTGGGTTCTCTGCTCCTTACTTTCTCCCCCCCGTCCATATAGCTGCTTGCTCAGACTCCACCACCGCCACTCTCCATCCAGCCCGCCACTGCCCAGCGATTCCCTGACTGCACCAGCTGAGCAACTCCCTGTCCGCCCACACCGCCATTCAGAATCTCTGCCCACTCGTTTTGTCGCTAGGCCTCCCAGCCATTCCCCATGCTGCCGGTGCGCCGTGCTTCCATCATGAGTTGTCCCATGATGCGATGCCTCCACCGAGGCTCCCATTTCTCAGCGTGCCGCCAGATGTGGTCATTGCCCACCACGCTCCTTGCCATCGCCTCCTCGTCAAGTGGGCTGCGCCGATGCTTGCTGCTGGTGTCCGATGCAACGCATGTGTGCGCAGACAATGCGTGAGGCGAAGAGGGTTGTGCCGATTTCTTTGTTTTGGAGGGATAGAACCAACCCACATCTCGGGAGAATGTTCCCTCTTGGGATGGACCCAACCCACTGGGACCTCAAACCAAACACTTCTAAATATGGGTCTGACCCATCCCAACTTACATGGACCCTTTAAGCAAACACACGGGTAGTTACTGGCAATTACAATAAGGTAAAGGACTAAAGGGGGGCAGATAGAGATTAGATTTTGGGAATATCTGTCAAAAGATAGGATATTTCTTGCTTGGTTTTGGAATAGATGCATGGCTTCCTTGTATAGTGGATGCAGACCCCCAACTTTTGATAACAGCATTTGGTTTCCAGATTCCTAGAACTACTATGAACCTGAACTGTCATCAACTCAGAACCTGTTGCTCGTAACCACATCGAAGTCCTCATGGACTCTTGCGATACACCTCAAGGTTCTTAAGGCATCGTCTAGTGCCTTGAGACCTCACTCCTAGATTATTCTATTATTGTCCCAGGCCTTGAGACCTCACTCCTAGATTTTTCTGTTATTGTCCCACCACATGTTCTGTTTCAACCTTGCTGTCTGCTCTTATGGTTGGGTCTCGTGGGCCATGACACAACATTGTCACCTTGGATGAAAACAGGGAATTATCATGGATGCTGACTTTGAACCTTTCCCAGAAGGACCAGACTTCCAAAATCCTAATTCTCCCTAGATTCTGTTCCTTAATTCACCCGAACAATTGTCTGCTTGAACTATTCTGGTCAGATACAACTTCAGCCCTACTTTCTAATGCTAGGCTGCTAGCCCAAACTCAAAATCCCTGAGGAGTCCAACCTATGTTCCTCCTGTGCTACTCAATGTCTGGGCTGCTACTTGGCTTGTCTTTCCTTATTATATATATGCTGGCTCCCTGGCTCCACCTCACGCTTGAGCCTGTTTGTAACAGAACCGACCAATTTATAAGAGCACAAGTACGAAAGCAATCACCGGAGTGATCGAACCGTCATACTTGAACCCATATAAACCCGGTAGTCAACTAAAACCACGAAGGATTTCAAGCCAACTTGCATACAACCAAGATCATAGTAATTCAACATAACAAGCCACATGTTACATCCATTTCACAAGTAGTTCACGAGTACCTCATACATCAGAGTTCACATAGTTATTACAAAACGAGTTCACAAATAGCGGAAGCAAAGTAGTTTGAGACCATCACACACACTTAGTTCAAATACAAGCCAGTTCCATAGTCATATCCAGCAAAAGCAACATGATAAGATAACATAGATGATCATGCCCATGATCTAGTCTTCATCCCCCGCAGGGTGGAGACAATACTTGCAGTAGCCGTTATAGAGCACGTCATCTGCAACAAGGGGAAATAAACCCTAAGTACGAGAATGTACTCAGCTAGACTTACCCGTCGTAAACTAAAAATAAATGACACCAAGGAATATGCAAGGCTTTATCGGTGGATCTTGCTTGACAACCATTTTGCATAAAAGCTTTAATGATATAAGAGCATAATTTAAATTATTAGTAAGCAGCAAGTTATCCAAATTAACCTGTCAACTAGATTAGCACCTGTACTAGAGCAAGCGATTGATTAACTCCAAACATTAGTAACCATATTCGGTACAATGTCGTAACATCATCATCATTATAACCATCAAGTTCAATTAAGTTATTCTACGTTGCCGCTGCTCAGTCAAGTTTTCACTATTCGGGAGAGACGGCGATTCGAATCGATTCCTATCCAGCTGGAGGGGTATTCCTAACACAAACCCAGGCATACCGCGCGAAGGCAGCCTTAGGTCACCTTTGGTACAACTCAGGAATCGCAGTTCCGAGCAGCGTCGCATTCTCAAGGGAGACACTCTGCCAGGAAGTGCAGGAATTTTAAGCACCTGACCCCTTGGACTCACGCCAATGTCCCCAAGCACATCCTTACTACCTCCAGAATGTGCACTTTCACTTCCCGGATTTCCGGCCTGAGTTGAGCTACTCGGCTTCGCGGTCGGAACGAGTTATCCGGCCAACTAAGTGATAGGCATGCGTTCAACATAACATGAGGACGTACAGCGAATCGGTCCTTAACCGACACAGACGGGGATAGATCCACACCCAAGACCTCCTTGCCTTGTTGCTTCTCTATCGACATCCCACCCGGTCTCCATTCATTATTAATATATGGTTATTTCCACGATAGCAAATATAGCCAACCGTGACCAGACATCATCCTAACTTGCAGGTGACAGGAAATCACCTGACTTTTACCGGTCTAAGCAACGCTAAGCTTTGATTCGCTCCTGGACCTAAATAGGATTCAGGGTACGTTTACTAGACAAGGAATAGATATATATGCAAGAAGTGTTTGCATCAAATTCCTATCACTTAATGCATCAATAAATAAAGATACTCAAAGTAACCATTTTCAAAACATAGGAGACTTAGAATGCTCCGGGGCTTGCCTTTCAAAAAAGATGATGGTTGGTGATCGGGACACTCAAGAACTTCTTCGTTGGCTCCTTCTTCGGGGACCTGCACCTCCTGCTCTGAGCTTGCTGCTCCTCCTCCGGAAGTCCTTGCTCGAATTCCAGAAGTGTGACTCCCCCCGGAACACCTATTGCATGCATATGCATAGCATAAGAGTCATGCATGCACAAGAGATGGAAGGTGATGATGAAATGTACAGCCATGTATAGATGGACGCATGAAAGACACGATGATATAAGATTAACCTCTATTTTACTGAATAGGTGCATATCTCTTTTAGAAAACAAAAACTACACACTCATTAAGCTCTAACAACCTATGATAAAGTTGTTCATCTTCAGTAAGAGGTCTAGCACCTGCAACTAACAAGTTATTTTAATTAGCCTAGCATCTAACTCATCACATCAACACATATCAAGCAAACAGTTATTCACTGCAATCACAGAGTCAAGGCTGCAAACAGCAGCAGCTAGTTTTACTCATAACGAGAGTTGTACTAATCCAAAAGACATGCAACAAGACAATCTGGAAAGCTTATAAAATTGTCTACAACTTTCGTTTAATCACCAAAGTCTAATTCAAACTCAAACTAGGTTAAACAGACTGATCTTACAAAACTGTGTGGATTCCAGAGAGCAGACACTTGGGAGTGCTGTCTTCCAACTGATATAACTCTCAAACTACTAGGCCAAATGCCCTGAAATTTTGACACAATCTAGATAAACAAGTTCCTTACAACTTTGTTATCGACAAGATTCAAAGCAAACATCAAATTCACCAGTTAATTTGCTTAACTCTAAAATCTGTCCAGAAAGTCACTATAAGTGAATTATAGTGAAAATAATATTTCATTACATACAAGAATAGTACTATGAGCACTACCAATGTTACCAACAGTTAACATACATCAAATGAACATAAGAAAACGTAGTGGCCATTCCTAAATAAATTATTTTCATGCCTTTATTAATTTATTTAGATAATTAGGTTAAATAATAAACACATATCCAAAGTGTACAGAAAATTTCACAAAAATTATAGTAGCTTATACGTGTCCCCAATAGACTATTGTATAAATTTCACATCATTTGAACAAATATAACACCCTACACAAAAATGACAAGCCCGCAGGGCTTAAAATAGCATAAATAGGAAACCCTAGTGAAAAGTGTCAAGCAACAGATTTTATATTTTTCTTAGGTTCATCATAACACCATAACACTGTACAACAAGTTTCATGCGCACTGGATACATATTTTTACCATGAAAAATAGCATAAGAATCTAGTATTTATTTAAGATAAATAGTAAACGCATATTTCCAGCAAGATCACGGTGCAACCAATAATTTTCCCATGAATTACATAACAATACAAGACTAACAAACTTGGAATCACATTTTTAGCACTTTCCTAGCTTAAGTTATAGATTTTACAAGATTGAAACCATTTAAAAGCACTTATCAAACTCTATTTTATTCACCTAGAAAAATACAAGAAATAGTGTGTTACATATTTTTATCAAATATTACACTTTATGTGGAACACCACGAAATTTGGTTCACCAAAATTGGATCTCTAAAACTCCACTTATGATTTTCCAAAGTTGCATGCAATTCTGGAAATAAATGAACTATCTTTTCACTTCACAGTCACCGACAGCCGGGGTCCACGCCTCGAGGCAGCCCCAGCCGGTGATCACACACCAGAAAGGGGAATGGTGGTTAAACGACAGTAGCTTCGCCGTGGGCGAATCCACCGAGTGGCCTGACCCCACCATGGTGCTCTCCTCACTCTCCCGCATCTATAGAGGTAAGTGGTTAGGGCTGAGGCGCACTGGAGACGGCTCATCGCCCGGCCATGGCGTAAGCGGGCAGCACGACGACGGCATGGCCGGCCCCACTCCCGCCACTGGCCGGGTCCAGCGAAAGGTTATCTGGCACCACGGTGCTCAGCGAAAATGTTCGTGCTAACCTAGGGTTAGGAGATGCTCTAGGAACACCTGGCCACGGAGAGGTTCGCGCGGCGGCGGAGCTTACTCCGGCGACGTCCGGACGGTAGCGGTTAGATTAGATAGGGTTAGCGCCACTACGAGGCACGTGGAACACAATGCGGAGGCGGAGGAAAGGGGTCATGGAGGAGCAGTGGTCAGCTCGGGCCACGGCGAGCTCGCGCTCCGGCGAGGTGACAGGCATGGCGACAGCGATGGGATTGGCCAATGGGCCCTCACCTTGGCTCGAATGGAACAGCGAAAGGGTCAAGGAAGTAACGCGACGCACGGCCCGACTACGGACGCGAGCAAGGGCACGATGGTTGGCCGGTGGAGGAGCTGCGTGACGGCGACGCTTGCTCGGCAGCAATGGTGCAGCGCGGCGCTGTGCTTCTGAGCGATTGGCGAGGCGAGGAGATGCGGATGAAGCAAGTAAGCGAACCATCGGGCGCGTGGCGGCGTCGTGGCAGCAACGGCTTGACTAGTGGGGGCAGCGCCGGCGTACGGCCGCCCCTTGGCCGCCGCGGCCTGACATTGTCGGCCAGCTGGCCCGCCTGAACCGGCCATCAGAGATCCATTAGGCCGATTGAAACACGATTTTCGGTGCTCCCTAATTCTCAAACCAGCCCGATCCAGCGAAAGGTATAGTAACACAAGTTGTAGAGCTAGAAGTGATCTACAAGTTTGTTTACATGACTTTGGGATGATTCGGTTCGGTTCGCAAACTACAGAGCTCTAAACTGGGGTACATGAAAACTGAAACTCAATGCAAGACTTAGAAAATTCTCTAAGTGCTGAATCAGCACCCAAATCTGACTTGTGGGCCATGTTTGGGACTGTTCCACACATTTTCATGACTTGACCTCTAAACAAAGTTTGTTCCATATATAATTTGCTACAACTTTGCTTTAGGTTGCTCAGACATGCAAACACTCTATGGCACTGTTCTAGTTCAGTCAAACAAAAGCACTCAAGAGGAGCACCTAGTCAAACTAAACCCTAGAAGCATAATTAGGCAGGGTCATTAACATGAACATTGTTCCATTAGACATCCTAAGTGTAGATAAGGTATTTTAGTTACCAACATCAATCGCTTGCACTCAATCACACATGATCATAAAGCATACATACAATGAAACATAAAAGAACAATAGTATGTTTCACATGTTTCATAGCAATGTTTCATATAGAAATGCTTATGCATGAATGAATGATGCTTATGCTATGCAATGCAAGTGCAATTATGCAAGCCTAACACCTAGGGTGTTACACTGTTACTACAACTTTTCTCACATTGTGATGTTTTTGAAAAGCCATAGATGGTTTTTTTACTTCCAATGTATTATAAACCAAGTCCTTGTTTGTTGTTAACCTTTAGCTTCCTTTACCGATTTGCAGGTTTGGTTTCTGTATAGTTCTTAAATCTGAATCACCATTTTTTAGTTCTCTCATCTCTTTTGTAAAACATGTGCCAGGTTTTGCAAGTGTGAGATGCCATACAATCCAGATGATCTTATGATCCAGTGTGAGGAATGTTCTGACTGGTGAGCATATAGATGAAGCATGCTGTCCTAAGAGTTTTTTATACATCATGCTATACCTCTTTTCGTCTGGTGCATTGTTTAATTCAATTGATTGCTTTATTGGTCTATGAATGGTGGATTTGTTGTATTTATTAGAGATTAGACATGAGATAGGGATACTGAACTGGCCAAAAACGAATTACTTTCCTTTGGTACCTTTGTACAGTTATGTAGTGTAAGTGTGTACATGATATTCACTGTGTACTTCTCCCACTGAGGACCAAAATAAAGCACTGTTTCTTAGCTTCTTTCATTTGCTAAAATAAAGTGTATTAACTGATGTTCACTTACAACGAGTTGTGTTCTCAAATTGTTAACCATGATTGGTTATGCAGGGTGGCATTTTAATTTTTTGGCCTTTCACAATTCACATACATGTTTCAGTAGGAAGTGTTGCCATTAAGATTTAAGGTCAATTTGGAACTTTATCTGAGCATTGATTGGTTCATAGCCTTGTGCGCACGTATTCAGTCACTTTGTGCCCTTTGAGGCTATATTGGTATACTTTCGATAATAACTTTCTCTTTTTCAGGTTTCACCCTGCTTGCATTGGGATGACAATCAAAGAAGCAAAGAAACTTGAACATTTTTTCTGCCAGACCTGTACAGCTGAAAATGGGAAGATGGTTGAGAATTCACATGAAGCTACAGCGCAATCAGAAGAAAAGGTAAGCTGCGCGTGATGCTAGTGCTGCTTATCATTGATTCAAGTTTGCTTTGCTATTTAAAACTATAGTGCAAATCTGTCATTATGCTTCTAATGACATAACTTAAACTGATCTCTTCAGCCGGTGGAGTCAAAAAGGCGGCGAAGGTGATGGCCCTGCTGATTAAATGTATGATGCTCGGTTGTACAAAGCCTTCCCAAGTTGAGAACTGTAATTTTATTGTTCGTCGCAGTTTGTGGTTCAGGGGTCCCCTCTAATGTCAGGCACACAGTGTACATAGCTTGCAACCTGATCAGATTGTTGTATTAGAGCACACTAGGATTTGTGTGGTGGTAGCATCGGCAGTCGGACTATTGGAGTATGTGTAGAGTTGTATGGCATCGTAATGCCAGCACAGGTGATCAAGTTTCCTCTGGGCATTAGGACTCCTGCATATGATCGATCCAGCAACAATAATACTTCCATGCAGCTGCAGCTGGACCTGGCTAGTCAGTCACTAGTAAGTTGTCAGGAAAAACTTTGTATTGTCATGTGAACTTTTTTGAATTGAAATCCTCTATGTAATGCAAGCATCTTAGTGTGGTACTTGCAGAACTGTTGCATGAAATTGGACACCCACCCTGGCCCCTTGGCTTTGGTTGCATATTTGCGTCAGTCAGCATGTGTTTAAGTTTGGATGAACAATAATAAAGTTCAAAGTTTAAGGCCATTGAACTGGTCTGGCTCAACGAAACATACCCCCACTTTTTGAATTATATTTTGATGAGTTAATGTGATGTTTATTGAAATTGTGGGCTAATAAATTGGTTGCCGAAGCCGAACCAAACAGCCGACTGTAGAAAGAAACTCGGGTCCACGCTAGCGGTCCAAAACTGCGGCTGGCACAAACTGACTTTTTATTCGCGCTCAACGCCGGGTCCGCTTCCGTGCCACTGCCACGCCTCGCCGCGCGCTGGTCGCTCGGCCGCGCCGTACCTGCGCTCGCCCCACCGGCTGGCAGACACTCCGCCGCCGCACTGCACGGCCGCTGTCCCGACGCCATGGACGCTGCTCACCTGCCATGTGATTTCTCCTCACCGCAAGCTGCTCACGAACTGTAAAAAGTAGTTTTCGGGTTGGGACTGCAGTAGTGCAGTGCAGACTGCAGAGAGGCTCCCAAAAGTCAGAGCTGACGGCTGCAGCCGCCTTCTTCGAGAAGACTTCTCCACGCGGATCTCTAGTTGCACAGGCTCGCAGCGTCTGCCTGCATGCAGCAGCCGCTACATCCCCCGCCTTCTTCAATCGCCGTGGCTTCGGTGCTCCACTCCGCCTCCCTTGGACTTGGATGTAATTGGCTTGATCAACGTTTCAAACTTTCAAGTAACCCGAGCTGCAAGCTGCTGACTGCTGAGCAAAGGTATGTTTCCTCGCCGTCATTCTTGCTCCTGGATGCTATTGTGCAGTTTCTGCTTCGTTTTCTCTGCCATTATGGATGAAATCGACGTCAGATATGCTCAGTTTGTTGTCATGGACCCCCGCGTCGTCATCCGCGGCGACTCGGGGGGCGCTCAACCACCGCCGCCGAGGACATCTCCAGGACGCCCTTCCGGCCGCCGCCGCTGCTCCCCCGGTGAGCGGCGGTGGCGGCCAGCGGCGCTGCGCTCAAAAAGGCGGGGCTCCGCGGCTTCTTCTCCCTCTCCTGCTTCCTCTCTTCCCCTCCCCAGTCGCCCTCCCCAAGCTCCCCTCGGCCGGCGGCGGGGACCGCGTCGACGACGGATCTGGCTGCCTCAGCTCCTTCCGGTCCGGATCCCTCTGTTCTCCCTGACCCCGGATCCGCGCGGTGCCATCCGCGCCGCGGGGGCCACCGGTCACGGGGCCGGCGGCCGCCGGCGGGTGACGCGTTGGCACCGGATCCGGCTGCCTCTGCTCGCCTCGACCCCGGATCCGCGCCGTGCCGGCGTCCGCGCCGCGGGGGGCACCGGCCACGGGGCCGGCGGAAGTGGTGCCGTGTGCCATGTGGGGCTCTCGCCGCCGCAGCTCCAGCCCACAACGGCGGTCTCCTGGGAGCTTCAGCAGGCTGGCTGCTGTCCGTCCTGGCCAGCCCACGGCGGCCACTGCCAGGACCATGATGGCGGGCGGCGGCTGCACGGCCGGCCGGATCTGGGCGGGCCATGGCTGGCTTTTGACCGGCCTGCTGCCAGCCCGACGTGGCTGCTCGGCGCTCTGGGGGCCAGTGCGGCGGTGCTCATGGGCCTCATGGTGAAGCGGCGGCAGTTGCACGGCTTCTCTGCGAAAGCTCAGCCCGGTTTTTGCCGAGCGGACGATGGTGACGCCTCGGGCACCACAAACCTCCTTGGAGGCGTCGCTTCTGAACATCATGCTTCGCGCCAACATCGCCAGATTCGAAGCGAAAGCCCGCCTTAGAAGCCTCTAAGGCCGGTGACGATGGCGTCTAGGGTCGTACCCTTGGGCATCACCTCCTTCCTGAAGGTGTCGCTGAAGAATCTCCTACGGCCCGTCGCTTGTCCCATGTCTGTGGTTCCTGCCGTTGGCCACCATTGGAGTTCCTTGTTGAGCCTGTGTGTGCCTTCATTCTACTCGCTTGGGTCTGTCCTGCAGCTTTTGACCTTGCTGCTAAATGCGATCGGCTACCGCTATCTTTATTTGACGGATGCTTTGCCGTCGTTGTCGTTGGTCTCCTCTCGGCGGATGCTTTCTTTGTGCCGAGATTGTCATGGCCGCCTCTCTCGAAATACCGCCGAGGAGGGTGTCTTCTCTTCTTCCCGGCGGATGCTTGGCCGTCGTCGGAATTTTTGGCGGATGCTTTGCGGCGTTGGCTCTTGGTCCCTCTCTCGGTAGATGCTTTCTTCGCCGAGAGTGTGTGGACCCTCTCCTTTATGGGATACTTAGCCGCCGTGGTCGCTTGGTCTTCGTTGGCGGATGCTTTGCCGTTGTTGCTGCTGGATGCTCCTGTGCCTTATCAGGGTGGATGCTTTGCCACCACGGCTTTGTCTATCTTGTAGGCAACCCTTGCGTTTTATTTTATTGCAGGCTCAGTTGTAGGTTTTAGGTGTTGAGGGCCATCACTCTTCTTTCTTTTTTTTCTTGTTCCTATTTTATTCCAGGTCACTCATCACTACCTTGGTGGTTTGTAATCTGTGCTATGAGAGTTCTCTCATAGCTGCGTCGTGTAATTCACTCCTCTTAATGAAAAACGGGCTATATTTCCCGATCGCGAAAAAAAAAGAAATCGATGTCAGATCTTGACTCCTGAGGGTACCTTAGGTCCTGCACTACTGCTAGTTACTCTGGAGCCTTTTGGATTGGGAGAATTTTTTTGTTTCTTTTGAAGAAATGGATTGGGAGATTTGGATCCGAATCCTTAGGATTTAGCTTAAATTTGAGTAACCCTCCAATGTTCTTCGAGCAATACCCTTCTGCCAAACACAGTAGAAAAATTGGGTTTTTAGTGTCAGATGACTCAGCGATGAGATGTTTGTGTTGCCACTGCGAGTAAATTACATTGGACTTGATTTCAGTCGAGGCTAATCTACTGTTTCGATCTGCATATCTGAACTTTGATTATGCATTCAAATCAATCCCAACCGGGGCTACTTGAATAGATTGAAGACTATATCTTTGACAGGATAATGCAAAAGTTGACAGATCAAAGCTTAAACTATGAATTTTGCTACAAGAACAATGGGGCTGCTGTTTCCCTAGTGTCCACTGTCTGTCTGTTCAGCGATGTGATTCTTTCTTTCCATAACATTCATGCATGTAACTGGTTATTTCTCTGCCTGCAGGATTAAGCTCACAAGAAAGTACCTCACCAATGCTGAATCCTTAGGAACAGTTTCTGCAAGAAAAAACTAAAAATGGCAGAAGCTTTGGTCATAGTAGTTCTTCAAAAGATTACCTCTGCACTTGGAGAAGAGGGTTTGAAAATTATCGGTTTGAAGTTACAGAAGCAGGTACCTGACATGCAAGATGTAATCAACAGAATGAGGCTACTCCAAAGTGATTTGTCGATGATGCAAGCATTCATAAATCAAGTAGATGCTCACAGTTCCAGTGATAAGTTACTGGAGGCCTGGCTGGAACAGGTAAGACAAGCAGCACATGAAGCTGAGGACATTGTTGATGAGTACGTTTATCTTGTTGGCCAAATGGAAGGAACAAACAGCTTCCTAAAGAGAGCATTGAACCAAGCAGCAGATGTTAAAAGATGGCGCAAGCTTGCAGCACATGCTAAATTCGTGGAGGATTGTCTTAAAAAGATCACTGAGACAAAAAACAGGTTTGATGTATCAGCAGCCGACAATAGGAGAGATAATGCATTGAGTTATTCTAGCAGACTCCAACATCTGTCTGAACACTCGTACCTGAATGATGATGATGATTTTGTGGGGAACAAGGAAGAGGTGAAGTGCTTAACAGAATGGCTATCTGATTTGAGGAAAGGCCGCACTGTTATCTCCATATGTGGAATGGGAGGATTAGGTAAGACAACAATTGCTAGTAGCATATACAAGAAGGAAGAAACTAAAAGAATGTTTATCTGCCGTGCATGGATCTCAGTATCTCAAAGTTACAGGGTTAAAGATCTCCTCCAAAAAATCCTACTGCAGCTTATGGCAAAAAGTGAGAATATTCCAGATGGGCTTGACACTATGGATTGCGTGAATCTAGTTGAACTACTTAGAAGATATCTTAAGGACAGGAGATACTTGATTGTGTTGGATGATGTATGGAGTAGGGACTCTTGGCCTTTACTAGATAGTGCATTTGTGAAGAATGACAACGGGAGCCGAATCATTATCACGACTCGAATCCAAGATGTGTCCTCCGTGGCTGATTCAAACCGTGAAATGAAGCTTAGTTTACTACCGAAGGAGGAAGCATGGACTCTTTTCTGTCAAAAGGCCTTCTCAAGATTAGATGATAGAAGTTGCCCCATCAGCCTTAAGACCTGTGCTGAAAGAATTGTAGGTAAGTGCCAAGGTTTGCCATTGGCTCTTGTTGCTTTAGGAAGTCTTCTATCCTACAAAGAAATGGATGAGCATGAGTGGGAATTGTTCTATAGACAACTTAGGTGGCAGCTGAGTAGCAACCCAGAGCTGAGCTGGGTTGCTAGCGTTCTAAATCTCAGTTACAACGATCTCCCTAGTTACTTGAAGAACTGTTTTCTTTACTGTGGTCTGTTCCCTGAAGACTATCAGATAAAACGGAAACAGCTAATCAGACTCTGGATAGCTGAAGGTTTTGTTGAGGATAGAGGACCCGAGGTGACACTGGCAGATGTAGCTGCATGTTACCTGAAGGAGCTAACTGATCGTTCATTGCTTCAAGTTGTTGACAGGAATGAATATGGAAGGCCAAAGAGGTTTCAGATGCATGACCTTGTGAGGGAGATATCTCTAACAATATCCAAGAAGGAAAAGTTTGCTACAACGTGTGACTATCCTAACCCAGACTGCAATTCTGATAGATCTCGTCGAGTTTCCATACAGAAGGATGGTATTCTGATGCCAGTGAAAATTTCTGCACAGCTCAGGTCCATCATCGTGTTTGTGGAGGAAGTATCATTGTCTTGGTTTAGGGACTGTTATCCAAGTTTTAGATTGTTGAGGGTCTTGAGCCTGAGACACTGCCATATTCAAAAATACCAGATAATGTATCTAATTTGTTTAACTTGCATTACCTTGACTTGGGATATACATTACTCAAGGAGATACCGAGATCTATTGCGAAGCTTAGCAATCTGCAAACGCTGTATCTCAAGGGTTCTGTACTCGAGTTGCCAAGTGAAGTAACTATGTTAACAAAGCTTCAACACCTAATTATAGATGTTGGAAGGTTTGGAAGTTCAGCAAGTAACAAAATATGTCGGCAGGAACATCTGCAGACCCTGAAATACATAGAAGCCAACAGCTGCGTTGTTAGAAATCTTGGATGCTTGACTAGGATGAGAAGCCTTGGCATTAGGAAGGTGCTAGATTCCTACAACACAGATTTGTGGACTTCAGTAAGCAATATGAAAACTTTGGCTTCATTGTCTGTGATTACTGCTGATCGCGACAGAGATATTCTTGATCTGTCAGACTTGAAACCGTTACCATACCTGGAGAAGCTTATGTTAAGCGGCAGGCTAGATAAAGGAGCTATTCCTCCTCCATTTGGCCACTTCCCCAAACTGAAAAGCTTACGGCTTTGCTTTTCTGGGCTCCATGAAGACCCACTTGCTTTGCTTGCTGTGATGTTTCAGAATCTAGGCCACCTTAACCTGTACCGGTGCTATGACGGCACGAGGCTGACATTTCGTGCCAGGTGGTTCCCTATGCTCAAGCACCTCTACTTGAGCTCCATGGGTGAGTTGAAGGTGGTTGAGATTGAGGACGGCACCTTGAGAACCTTGCGTCGGCTAGAGCTCTGGGGCTTGAAAAGCTTGACGTCAGTACCAGAGGGCCTTGTACACCTTAAATCAGTCCAACAGCTGTGCATCGGCTCGATGATGCCTGAAGAGTTCAAAACAAGGTTAGAAGGACGAGATCGATGGATTGTTGAACATATCCCCTACATTGGAGATCCGTGATCAAGAGGACAGTCACGTGTAAGCATCAATCGTGTGCCTTGTCCAGTATACTGCTCAACTATAATTTAGTATACCATTGAACGATGCAATGCATGATTCCCATAAAAGTTTGATCATTTGATCTTGTTATGTTTCATGAGAATTGTCGGTTTAATCTGTTGTATCTTCTCTAATGTATATGCATGCTGTTCATGCTTCAATAAGCTACCCAGTTTTTCTTAAAATAACAGTGCTATCACAAAGTAACACTTGATGCCCTTCGTTGACATGCATTCAGCGAAGTTCAGTTGAATGATGAAAACTATAGCATAATTTTGTCTCCTCCTTGGTAGACATACAGAATAACGTTTTTTGGAGAGCATATCGGCCTAAGATGGCACTAACAGCTTGATGAGCAAAGAAATCATGAGTTCTCTCAGGAAAATAATGGACCCAGCTGATGGTTTGTGGCACTGTGCAGGCATGAATGCTCAAGCAAGAACAATCAGAGGAAGCGATCAGTGCAGGCCTGGAGAAAAGACCATATGTTGGCTGAATATTGTAGCTTCTGAAAACACGGCTGCGAATAGTTATGCAGATTTTTTTTTAAACATAGTTATGCAGAAAATTTTGCGAAAGCCACAAGTAGTTTCTTCAACATGAGTGCAGAGAATCTCCATGATCTGCATTTGTTTCAATTCGTTGAAAGTAAGTTATTTGCAGAAACATGAGTACATGATTTACGAGAAGTTTCACTAGATTTTGGCAATGCCAAAACGGCCGCGGTTTTAAAGCTCTTGCTTCTGAGTATTCTCCGTGTTGAAGTTCTCGCAAGTCTTTTATTTCTCGCATGGCAGCAGTTTGTCAGCTTGTCATTTCCATTCTTTGTACGTGGAACTATGGACGGATTAATCTTGAACTTGAAGATAATCTCGCAGCTTGTGTCTTCTCTTATCTGTGATGGCGTGACGTGAGATTCTGTTGCCTGATGCTGTCCTCGGGGCCACGAGTGGGCTCGGGCCCGTGTTTGTTTGAAGGGTTTTCCACGGCCCAATCCGATGTACATGATCAGGCCTAAACTTTTCTTTTTTGAATGAAAGGAATCAGGTCTAAACTTCGAGGGGCCTGACTCTAGAGCGAAGCTGATCATACACGGGCTGGGCTGGCTTTAGATCGGGCTGTGAAAAAAACTGACAATACCCAAACCTGATCGGCTGATCGTGGCCTGACAGAAAAACTCAAATTGTCCGCCAGTGGTCCGACTCGATGGCCCATGGGTCGACCCGGGCCAAAAATTGCAGCCCTTGTCCGCCCAACGTGAAGGCCCGATTAGTCCAGATCGGGTTTTCGGTCGCGTCTGATCGATTTATTCGGGTCGGGTAACTCGTACAAGGCACGTCATCATTATTTTTTCCCCGATAACCCTGCCACGTCATAGCATCAAGCTCATCTGCGGCTGCCTACTGCTCTCAGGCAGTTGGCACTGGCACTCCACTTTCCACCAGACGCAAGCGCCGCCCCCCTCCGCTCCGCTCCTTCCTCTCACCCAGAGCACGGCGCCAGCTCCGAGGAGAAGCCGGAGGAGGACGGCATGGCGCGGCGCGAGGCGGCGAGGCTTCTCCGCCGCCTGGGCCCGCTCGCGGTCGAGTCGTGGACGCGAGGTGAATTGCTGATTAAAAATTTGGGGGGCTTGGTGCGCCCTGTTCGCTGTTGGTCCGGGTGGTGCTCGTGCTCGTGCCCGACCGGGGAGCTGCTTGCTGTGGGGCCTAGGTTTTGTCCTGGCGACGGCCGTAGTGCGTAGAGCGGGATTTATCGGCGTTCGGGTGTGGGATTACTTCAGTGTTGGTGATCTGGCATGGTTCTGTTGCAATCGCGCGCTCGTTCTTCGTTGGTTCTAGCTTCAGGCCTGGTCCTAGTCATCGGGGACTGCTATCTGTTGGTGTTGGAGCACCAAGCTAAGCTGCAGATGCTTCATCACACTCGACTCTGTTAATAATTACTAAGTTACCAGAATGACAAGACATATGTTGCAGGTGTTTGCTTGATGTAGCCTGTGTTGCCATGGTGGTTAGTGATTCAGCTAGCGATGTAGCATTAGAATGCAGCTTCGAATAGAAATTGATATTTTTTTTCATTTGGGGCAAGTTTGAGCAGCAGAGTATTAATTACTAGGTTGATTGAAGAGCTGGTAATGCATGGTGTTCGCCAATCTTTGACGTAGTTACTTAAATATATTTGCATAAGTGCTTGTTTGGTTGGTTTATGACATGAAGAATATATCAGGTTCACAAAATATTTCGGATTAGTTAAATAACCCAATAAAAATGCCACCAGCCGTGTTGTCTGTGGAGTAGTACCAATCTTTAGGGCTTGGGCATTACTAGAAGTAAAGAATGACAGCAGTAGTTTTTTTTTTCTTTCAGTGAGGATAGTGATAGCTTTAACAGTACAGAATCAACGATTAAAGTTTAGTGAGAATTTTAGCCTATGATAATCTTTACTGTTTGAATACAGACAGGTAACTAGATACCTTTGATGATCCCTGTAAAATTTAAGAAGTTTTGATTTTATGATAAATTATGCTTTTCAGGCATGCCTCATAGTCAACATGAATCCGCAAACCGCATTGTGAATTCTTGTAGAAGATTCCACTGGATTCCCAGTCTACAGCGCCCTCTGTGTGGACCTACAACTAGTGGGGGAATATATGAAGGCCAAAGCAGTGCTAAGAAGGCTTGTGAAGTTCAGAAGCACACATTTGGTTCTGCTGCAACACACATTCAGAGGAATCCAGCCTATTCAGAGCTGAACTCTGATGATGTTTCTTACTTCAAGAGCATCTTGGGTGAAAATGGTGTAGTTCAGGATGAAGACAGAGTCGCAGTTGCAAATGTAGATTGGATGGGTAAATATAGCGGTGCAAGTCAGCTACTACTTTTACCAAAAAATACTACAGAGGTATTTCATCAGCCAATTTAATTTCTTGAATAGCAAAGTAGTTACCATCATTTTAAAATAGTTTACTATTGTTGTTCAGCCTTTGTGTACAATGTGTAATTTCCTCAATGATCATTAATTTTCTAAATTTCTGAAATCACCCTTTTGCATATACCAGGGTGTTATCAAATCCATGCAAATAACATATTTATGCTGGTTCTTTAAGTGGTTCACATTTTCTTTGTCATGACTCATGAAGATTTTTTTAATCACTGCTATTCTTGTTCAGACACAAGAAAAGAATTAGTGTGCAAATTCTTTATTCAAACATTCTGTTTCCAGGTTTCTAAGATTCTTTCATATTGCAACACCAGACGATTGGCTGTAGTTCCACAGGGTGGCAACACAGGTCTTGTAGGTGGCAGTGTGCCTGTTTATGATGAGGTAAATGTATTTCTAAAGCTTTTTAATCTGTGTCAGGAATGAAATGTTGGAATAATATTCATTTTTTGCTAGGATCCGTCCTATTATTTATGCAAATCATAACAACTTCTCTTTGCTGTTAACTAGAAAAGGCTGAGCTATTTTGCTGCAAATATGTGGGCTATATGTTTACATGGACCGACCAGAACACCAGATAAATTGTGAAATATGGAGAGAAAAAAAAGATCGCATAGACCTTGTTCAATTTCAGTGTTATGCTTAATGTTATCTTTAGTATTTTTTATTATTGTTTAACATCTCTCCCTTATTTTGTATTCTTATGCTTGTTGATGTGCCAAATTAGTTTTGTTATCTATGCAGTGGTTCTGCATTTGTAGTTTTTTTTACTGTTCATAATGTTAAGGTCCAAGATCACTGATTAATGTTTTATGCCCTTGTCTGCAGGTGATTGTTGGCCTCTCCGGAATGGACAAAATCATTTCCTTTGATAATGTGAGTACAATTTCTTGTACCTTGCATTTTGTTGTATTCTCATTAGTTGCTTCTTCAAATGCATCCAAGGGTCACGATAAATCCTTGAATAGTTTACAAAGGTGCCAACTTCTGTCTGCTGTGTGTTGCTAGGTAAATGGTATTCTTACTTGTGAAGCTGGTTGTGTGTTGGAGAATTTAAGTAACTTCGTGGAAAATGAAGGGTAAGGTTATATTTCGCAGTTTTTCCCTAGCTGTTTTGTTCTGATTTCTATTCCAAAGTCTTGTGCTGGTCTGCTGGATATGCTACTATGCTTTATTCACAGATAGTGTGTTAAGGTCTCATACTCATTTGTTCTTGCTTGTGGAATCGCTAATGATTGTGACAGGTTCCAGAATATTTTTCATTCCCTTTAGTTCAGTTTTTATAAGATCCTTTTTTGCGACCCAATAGGCCAACATAAAGTTTGTAACTTCCTATGGTGCATACATACTGAAAATACTTGACTAAATTTGTTTATCTTCATTTTCTGAACAAAAGAATTTACAATCATGAGCTACCCTTTAGAGAACACCAGTTCTTTGGTTTCCATGCTAGTAGCCTAATTGGTCTTGATCTGCTTCTCAGGTTTATTATGCCACTTGACTTGGGAGCAAAAGGTAGTTGCCACATTGGTGGGAATGTTTCAACTAATGCCGGTGGCCTGCGTTTCATACGCTATGGTTCACTTCATGGAAGTGTACTCGGTAGGTACACGTATTGATCTTATAATTATAATTTTAACACAAAATACATGTATTTAAACTCTCAGGGATCTGTACTTCCCTTTTAAATTATGTTTGTTTGCATACAGGTCTTGAAGTTGTCCTGGCTGATGGGACTATCCTTGATATGCTTACTACTTTAAGGAAAGACAATACTGGGTATGATCTGAAGCACTTATTTATTGGTATGTACTGAACGTGATAACTACTCCATGACCACTGTGAAAGCAGTATTGTTTTTGCAACACCGAACAGTTAGTGAATACACAACTTATCGTTCAGGAAGTGAAGGCTCACTAGGAGTAGTCACCAAAATATCAGTACTTACGCCTGCGAAGCTTCCATCAACTAATGTTGCATTTCTTTCCTGCAATGACTACAAAAGCTGCCAGGTTCATTTGCCTTGGCATTCTCTACTTTTTTTTTACAAAAGTTAATTTATTCAATCATTTCTATGCATGAGGTCTTCAATAGTGATTACTGCTTACTGATTGTGTTCCCAGAAATTACTGCTGGCAGCAAGGAGGAGCTTGGGTGAGATCTTGTCCGCATTTGAATTCATGGATCATCACTGTATTGATCTGGTACTTACATATGAAATTCTTTTTTAATTGAGTTGCATCATAGAGTGAACTAAGGCCCACAAATTTGTTATTTATCATCATTTTAATGTCTAAGCTAATAACTAAATTGGACCTTCCTCAACTTTGCCACACATTAGACCCAGCTTTATGCCACAGGCTGACATTTAGAACAGGGGATGAAATTGTGAATCCCTTGCTAGGTTGATCAGTTTGATGCGATAAAATATGCCTTTGATATTCTTATACATCAATAACCCTTGAAAAGAACTTGATTTTCTAAGGTGCTCCTGTATACATTATACAATGAAATATTTCATTATTTTGTCTGCTTTGCATATTTAGATTGTTTTTTTGATATATTGTTTATTCTGGAGGCTATGCGACATTTGGAAGGAGTTCACAATCCGTTGCCTGCATCCCCATACAAATTTTATGTTTTAATTGAGATAACAGGAAGTGATGAATCATATGACAAGTAAGTTATTGTAGAAATAGAACATGATTCAACAATGATCATTTGTCAATGTTTATGACAGTAGAGGTTATTACTGTTGCCCTTTGATTCTGATTTATCTGTGACTATTGCTAATTAGAGAGAATGTAATACCTATTTTACTTTTTTTTATTCATGAGATTTATCAAATAGTAAAAAAGTTTCTGCTTGCAAGAAGCTTTCTATCTTTGTACGGATTTTCTATATTGACATTACTTTGGTGAAATATTATAGCACAAGAAAGAAATTTTTGTCCTTTATGGATATGGACTAGATGAATAGATGATGATTTTCTGTAGCATGTTTTTGTCTGAACATATTTATTCTGTGACCTGATAATTGACATTATTTTATCGGCATATGCTTGAGAGAAAATTGACAATTGCTCTGTGGAAGATAAATTATCATGCCAACTTGCAGTTACTGAGATTAGGCTGTTCATCTGTGTATCTTGTGCTTAAAACTTTTCTAGTTTCTCATCATGCCTTTTTTTCTGGCTTTCTTTTGTAGAACAAAACTGGAAGCATTTTTGTTGCGTTCAATGGAAGATGGTCTAGTAGCTGATGGTGTTATCGCGCAGGATATCAGCCAAGCATCAAACTTTTGGCGGATCCGTGAGGTTGTCATCCTATAATCAATACTCTGTTTACCTCTTATACGGTTATACCTTAATGTTGACCGATGGATGTTATGTCTGTGCTGAAACTTGTCAACCATCAGTATCAAACTGTTCATGTGCTTAGTGGTAGACTGGTAGTTCTGTACTAGCATGTAATAGCTAAATTAACACAGATGCTCATGATTTGAAATAAGATGAATTACATTTTTTTTTCTTTGGAACATGCGGTTTGGTTTTTCCAGTTAAATCATTCAAACCTAAAGCTTCAAGTGCCAGACCAACTTTCAAATGCACAAAAATGGACCATGTAGCGATAAATCTTAAGATTTTGCTTCTGTTGTTGTTCTTGCAGGGTATATCAGAAGCATCTGTCAAAGTTGGTGCTGTGTATAAATATGACTTGTCCATACCTGTAGAGAAGCTCTATGATATTGTTGAAGAAATGCGCTGCCGTCTTGGTAATTGCGAGACTTGATCTACAAAAAATCTATGGGCTTCCAGTTAACTTAGTATGTTGGTTTTCTAGGTGATAGCGCAGAGGTATTGGGCTATGGCCACCTTGGAGATGGGAATCTGCATTTAAACATTGTATCAAGCAAATATGACGACAATGTATGTCTTTTATATCAATTTGGATATAACTTGGAAGTTGGATGTAGATTGTTTACTTATTTAATGCCTCAGTGTCTTGAGATGGTTAATGGATAACCTTATCTTGTTTTTTCCAATCGAATTTTAGACTCTTGAACGAATTGAACCATTTGTCTATGAATGGACTTCAGCACAAAGAGGAAGCATCAGTGCAGAGCATGGTTTGGGGCTAATGAAAGCTGAGAAGATTCACTACAGTAAATCACCTGAAGCAGTAAGTTTTCCATTGTCCTACCACCACTTGCACGAAGCATGTACATGATGAGTTAGGAAATGACCAATCATACTGAGTTGTAGACTTCATCGATCGAATTGCTACTTTGCTTGTGCATTCAAGCTACCTGTTTGCTTGGCAAAACTTGTTAGATAGGTCATGAATATCTGAACACGCCAAGGCTTGTGTGCAACACCTTTTTTTGCACTCTTTTGTACATTATTACAGAACAATAAAATGTGCTTTTATGGGAGTCGGTAGATGCTTAGGTCCTTCCTGCTTTGATTAGTCTATTGGTCCTCCCACATGTGGCTTAGCTCAGTAGTCAGAACTGTTTTTAACTGTCCCAGTAGCTAAATACAAGCAATGAGCTAATGCACGGTTTTACTTTAAGAACAATGCGCATATTTGTATCGATTGGTTAGTGTTTGTAGTACTAGTACATCGCTAGTAACTCTAGCTACGCAGGATAATTCAAGTTGCCTTGCCCAACTAATGTTTCTGTTTTCATTAGGTGCAACTAATGGCCTCCATCAAGAAGTTGCTGGACCCCAATTCGATCCTGAACCCCTACAAGGTTCTGCCGCAGTCTGTACTGTAGCTGAAGGTACTCTGTTATCGGCAGTATGTACTATACCGTAAAGGTACTTCCTGTAGTTGCAAGGAATTATAGTTAGTTCCAAACTAATATTTTCTTCCCAAACTAATGAAACTAATTGGTTCATGTCAACCCCCGCTGCTTCCGCCACCCGCAGCAGGTTAGGGACCCTTTAACTCACTGATGAGCTTGTGTCTGACCAGACTAGCCGCCTGATGCTTGAGTGAGCTGAGCAAAGTGAATAATTGGCAAGCTAGTGGTCGAGGACGCAAACGACAATCAATGCCATTTTTGAAGTGCGCCAACGTCGTGCCAGCCTTGCTTTCAAGACTCGAAGAAAAAGTATTACTCCCACCACCAGTCTGGTGTTATTTGACGCCGACAGCTGAGTATAGCTAATAGCAAGTCAACATATGGCTGTCCGTCTTATGCCCAATCCTACTGCTGCATCATAACTATGTGTTATCTGTGTGTGCTAGCCATCGCAGTTCTGTCATACAATCATCCTTGTTTCAATGAGTAGTAGAAGCTGGCAAATTCTATGTTGGAACATAAGAGGTATCAATGCAACTAGTAAGTGGGACGCAGTACGAGATATGATTGAAGAAAGTGTGTCCTCAATCTTTTGCCTCCAGGAGACGAAAAAAGAACATTTTGATCATGCTTTCATCAGAAAACTTGCTCCCAAGCGTTTTGATTCTTTTGATTTTGTGCCTTCGATGGGGGGCTTCGGGTGGTATTCTAGTGGGCTGGAATAGCTCTATTTTCAGAGGGCAGGTCCAAAAAACAGTTTGGCATCACCCTCTCTTTCACCTCGGTACATAACATGGACACCTGGCGTCTCACCACGGTCTATGGACCTTGCGCCGAACCAGATAGGTTAGAATTTATCAATTGTTTCAGGGGTCATCTTATCACAGATTCGGATAACTGACTCTTCCTTGGTGACTTCAATTTCTATAGATCCCTCCAGAACCGCAACAAGCCGGGAGGAAACCTATCTGATACCTGATCTTCAATGATGCTATTGGACATCTGGGCTTAATTGAACTTCAATTGAAAGGGAGGGCCTTCACCTGGAGTAATATGCAGCAAGACACTCTCCTAGAGCAGCTTGACTGGTTTTTTACTTCGCCAAACTGGACACTCGACTATCCTAATACTGAAGTTCTACCGATGGCCAAGATAACCTCTGATCACATCCCTTGCAAAGTGGCAATTGGCACCAACATACCTCGCTCCAACATTTTTTGTTTTGAAATTTTTTGGGTGGAGCATGCAGGTTTTCTTGACACAGTTCAAAATCAGTGGACTATTTCACAGCAACGGTCATCGGCATCTAGAACTATTTCCTCCAAATTAAAGGCTTTTATGCAGTGTCTTGAAGACACGGAGCCGAGGACTATCCAACCTATCCTCTTGATTGCCAACTGTAACAAGGTCATTCTTTTCCTTGATGCTCTGGAAGATAGAAGGTTTCTATATAATCCAGAACTCAATCTTCGGATCATGATAAAAAATCATCTTGCTACTCTGCTGCATTATAAGAATGTCTACTAGAGAAAGAGATATACAGTGAATAGAGTTAAGTTTGGTGATGACTGCACCAAATTTTTCCACGCGATGGCAACAATCTCGCATAGGCGAAACTCCATTCCCCAACTCCTCAACGAGCAAGGTCTTTGGGTCCACGACCATGAAGGCAAAGCGGGGCTACTTTGGAATTCTTTTAGAAAGCGCATGGGTGTAACCACCAGCCCGGTCATGATCTTTGATCTGCAGTCACTTATCACTGCGGTACCTGGTCTAGATGAGTTGGTGTTACCGTTTGAACATGAGGAGATTGATTCTGTCGTCAAACGCATGCCAATCGATAAAGCCCTGGGTCCTGACGGTTTTAATGGCATGTTCATGAAAAGGTGTTGCCAGATTATTAAGCAAGATTTCTATTCCCTCTGTGATGAGTTCTATAATGGCACAGTGAACCTAGAGTGTATCAACAGCTCCTACATCACCCTTGTGCCCAAGACCAGTAACCCAGAGACAGTCAATGACTTTAGGCCAATCTCATTGCTGAATATTAGTCTGAAGCTATTGACAAAAATCCTGGCGGACAGACTACAGAATGTCATTCTCAAACTCATTCATTGTAACCAATATGGTTTCATTCGTTCGAGTTCCATTCAAGATTGTCTAGCCTGGAGCTTTGAATATATTCACCAATGTCATCACTCAAGAAGGGAGGCTATAATTCTCAAACTGGATTTCGAAAAGGCGTTCGATACAGTTGAGCACTCTACTATCCTACTGATGTTGCAGCATTTGGGCTTTCCAGATAGATGGATATCTTGGATCCACTGTATCTTATCGTTGGGATCATCACCGGTGCTCCTAAACAGTGTCCCGGGCAAATTCTTCAAATGCAAGAGGGATGTCAGGCAGGGAGATCCACTATCCCCCTTGTTATTTGTCATTGCAGCTGAACTTCTTCAATATCTCGTCAATAGGGCGTCGGCACTTGCACTACTGACAGCACCCATCCCTTGTGAAAATGGTGAATTCCCCATAGTTCAGTATGCCAACGATACCCTCCTCATTCTTCAAGCTGATGCGCGTCAATTGTTCTTCCTGAAAGCATTATTCAACAGCTTTGAGACTGCTTCGGGTCTCAGGGTCAACTACAACAAGTCACAAATCCTACCAATTAATGTCAGCCATGATAGAATGCAGCATCTTGCCAATACGTTTGGTTGTCAGGTTGGATCAGTGCCGTTCACATATTTAGGGCTACCGATGGGCACCACCAAGCCATGCATTGAGGACCTTACACCAATCATGGACCAGGTTGAGAGAAGACTGTCAGCATGCTCCACGTGGCTCTCTTATTCAGGTAGACTGCAGATGGTTAATTCAGCTATTACACCGATAGTCACCTACACTCTTTGTACTATCAAAGGTTCCAAAGGGCTTCATTGACAACATAGACAGGGCCCGTAAGCAGTGTCTCTGGAGGGGAAATGATGACACCACGCGAGGAGGCAACCTTGTGGGGTGGCCGGCTGTCATGAAGCCTAAGGACAAGGGTGGTTTGAATGTGATCAACCTGCGTTTGCAAAATGATGCTCTCCTCTTGAAACAGCTCCACAAGTTTTATAACAAAGTGGATGTTCCATGGGTGAAGCTTGTTTGGAATAAGTATTATGTTGGCAAAGTGCCCCATGAATGCAGAGAAATGGGTTATTTCTGGTGGCATGACGTCATGCGTCTCAACACCATCTACAGAGGTGTTGCACGCTGCACATTGGGAGACGACTCAACAGTTTCTTTCTGGGATGATCTATGGTCAGACTCGATCATGTCTTCTCAATATCCAAGACTCCACTCGTATGCCAGGAACAAGTCTATCTCGGTACAGGAATTAATGATGCATGAAGACCTTGATGACATTTTTGTGCTTCCACTATCAACCCAGGCTTATGAGGAGATGATGGATCTACATAATCACCTTGTCACCCTGGAATATGATGATAGCACCGTAGATTTCTGGACAATGCTATAGGGACCCCAATATTCATCACGGCGGTTCTACAATCATGTCTTCAGTGGCATGGCTTCGACTCCTTACTTCAAGGTACTCTGGAAATCTCAGTGCACACCTCGTGTGAAGTTTTTTGCGTGGCTAGTGTTGATGGACCGACTAAATACGAAGACGATGCTAAGAAGAAGGCACCTGAACATACAAGATGATGTACTCTGTGTTATGTGCAACCAAGGTGCTGATGAAGATATTGATCATCTTTTCTTTACGTGCCCATTTGTGGGTCAGTGTTGGACCTCAATTAATTTCTCCTGGGACGTCTCCCCGCCACTAGCTGAAAGATTGATGAGGGCCAATGAGGTGCATGCTTTGGACTTCTTCGTCGAAGCATCCCTAATTTCAGCATGGGAGCTCTGGAAACTTAGAAACGACAAGATTTTTCAGCGTCGAGACCCAACTCCTCTATGGCTTGTAAATTTCAAGCATCAATGTAGTTTGCAATCTCTTAGACTCAGGGAAGACCTTAGGTCTTCCTTTTGCTTTTGGCTAGACGCTTTCAGTTAAAACAGGTTTGTAATCTTGACTGTTGCTTAAATTATTTATAAAATCTAATGTGGGGATCTCCCCCACAGTCCTTTGTTTCAAAAAACATATGGCTGTCCGAAACGTCAAAGGATTTTTTTTTTTTGAAAGAACAAACACGAGTCGGTGCACATTTCATTTCATTGATAGAGAAGGAAGATAGAAGGTCCGTTTTTAAGCACTTCATTGTTCCAGCTTGCTTAAGACTACTTTCATCAAAAAAGAATTTGACCCAGCCGACAAGTGGTTAAATGGATTAACATAAACAGTTAGCAAATAATACCATTTTTTTGGAGCATCCATCGTGTCACATGGAGATTCATACTTAGATCCATCACCACCTAATATTATTAGCCCAATCACCCCTACTACAAAAATAATTTGTGAATACAGTCCTTTTTATTTACATAGACGATAAAAAGTGCTCCAAAGCAACAATATCTGTATATGTATTTTTAAAGGTGGTCCTCTTAACAAGGCTGCATCTAAAGCTTATTGGAGTAGTACCACCTCTAAAAATCTACTTGTGACTTACAACGCGTGATCATAGTGCCTAGCTAGGGCGGCTGGTTCCGGGACTTAAAAAAGTTTTGCTGGTTTTTCTTTGTTTTCTAAAAATTATTTATAGAGACGGATATCTTTAAGACATCCATTTTTATTAATTGAAGATTTAGTTAAAGCAGTTGTTCAAGAGGATTTTTTTATCAAAATCTCAATTCATATGAATATTAAAGGATATAAAAAGGACTCTTGGAGTTGCACTTATTATATACCTAGATATAGGATATATGTCTAGATACACTAAAAAAACAAACGACCTATAATTTAGATCACAGATGGATATATGAATTATGATGTGCCCCCTGCAAAGACTACTCTTTAC